ATCACCCTCAGTTTGAGAAAAGTCAGGACAGGTCATGGTGTGTGTGAGATCTGTCAGTATGATTCATGTTCTACATACAAGAAGAAAGCCTTGGGGAAATAAGACGGACACACACACACACACACACACACACACACACACACACACACACACACACACACACACACACACACAGAAGGTTACAGGAAGTCAGTTCTAGCTCTGGACTGGTATCATTGTTTGTTTAAAGTTTTGTTTTAAACATATAATTGGCATAAATGTCGCACTTTTGACCCCTTTAATGTGTGCTTCGGTTAATCCTGATGTCACTGCTGCCAAACATCAAAGTGTGCAGCGCTGTTCAAGTATAGAAAGGAAAGGATAAAAGCATTTATGCATGTTAGAAATTCTACTTAACTTCATTACAATGCATCTGTGTAGCACCCTCTAATATTTTGCAGCTTTCACATTTTGTATTGATTTGCTCTTTTTGTCATGCAGCCTTGCACTTTTGTATTGAGTCAGGTCTAAAAATGTAAAGTTGTCTTGACTCAGCTCAAGTAAAGGTTAATAGCTTTTTAAATGCATCAATAGAAAATAAAATACCTTGACACAAAAATGTGCTACTACGCTAAAATTCAGTACCACTGCATATTTAACCAGAGACATTTCATAACTCTATTAACAACCCTGCTTCATTTGTATTATCTTTGCAGGTCTATACATGTGACAGATGTGGTAAACATTAAGAGCGATGAGTTTGGACGGAGGTGTGAAAGACGGAGCGAGCAGAGGATATGGAGAGGTGCTTAAGACGTGAAGTGTCTGTTGACGAAGAGAGAGACAAGAGATGGCAGGACATTTACTGACTCAGTATGAAATACATAGAGATGGACAACATGGGTAGGATTGAGGGGGAAAGACCAGTCCACACTCTGTATTGGTCCAATCAGGACTTGAACCGGCAACCCTTCGATTCCCAAGCCAAGTCTCAAGATATATAATATAATCTAATTTTTGTCTCACATATGAGTTAAGACTGCAATCCTTAACACACTTACATTAATGAATATCTTGCCCATTGATTTTTAGATGAATCGTTCATTTGGTTTATAAAATGTCAGAAAAAGTTTCTGAAAGTCCAAGTATTTCCTTAAATATCTTGCTTTTTCAGTCAGAAACCCATATATTTTCACTTTAACACAATATAATACAGAGAAGAGTAATAATTATTGATATTTGAGAGGCTAAAAACAGCACATTTGGCAGTGAAATGGCTTCAACATTAAGTCGTAATATAGTCAATTCGTCGACTAATAATTGCAGCTCTTGTTGAGTTTGCACAGTTCAGTGATGATTATGTAAATGCATTGAAAAAACAGTTTTCTTACAGTTGAGCTAATTGAAGTTGCATTGTGGGTAATGTAGGCACACAATGAACAAGAAGGCCTGGATTAGGACAGAAGATGTCTGTGTCAATTTTGATTATTTTTGAACGTTCCAACAAGGATGCCATCTTATTCATTTAATGTGAAACCTGTTATATTACATAACCTTTAATCAGTATGAGCTGACATGTTATAGCTAGCCTATCTCTGATACAGGAGCTTAGTCGAAAAAAGAAAAAAGGAAGGGGAGGTGGTGGAGGGTAGCAGTAGTGGGTTGATGGCGGTGGAGAGGAGCGAGTGGAGGATTGAAGTGACAAGTTGTTGTCAGAGTAGCAAGACCCTGGTAGATAGATGAAGACAGGGTCACAGCTCCCCGCTGAAGTCACGACAGATGATTAACTGTGTGCTGGTGTGTGTGCTGGTGTGTGTGCGTTTCTGTGAGGACCAGGTCAGCGCTTTTTTTGCCCAAGGCCGGCTACCCCTGAGTGTGGAGTGTGTGTGTGTGTGTGTGTGTGTGTGTGTGTGTGTGTGTGTGTGTGTGTGTGTGTGTGTGTGTGTGTGTGTGTGTGTGTGTGTGTGTGTGTGTGTGTGTGTGTGAGAGTATTCGAGTACAAGGTCAGCAACTTTAGCCCTACAAAGCTGACTGACACTTGTTGTGTATTGGTCATTGTGTTATGTGACATGCATTTATGTTTCACTATCTCTCTCTTTTCCCCGATTTGACCTGCGGGGTCAAACTGTTTCTCATCCTTTTTTTTCTCCATCTGTTTCCACTCTAAATATATTAACTGAAAAGGCACTTAGCTTCCCCGTCATGAAAACAAACATATTTCTGTCGTATCCCCGATAGCCTGTTCTCAGCTCAGCTAATATTCACTCACTGCCAAACTCTGTACAGCAGTATGAAGTAGTAAAGAACATCGTTTACAGCTGGCTGCACACAAATGCACCATACTGTCTTGTGTGTAAGGTTTCACACATGAAAGACTTGACTCAAGGCCACGTTTGACTCAGGAAATTCAGTTTCTCCACCTACATTTAATATCATATTCATCCTGTCCACATGAGACAGTCCCAAGTTAAAGAGTCATTACACTTTAAACATTTTGGCCTTCACCGTGCGCTCACACCAAAGGATTTATGAGCAGAAGCACAGAGAATGAGAAGGTGTTGCCCTGAGCGCAACCTCACAGGCAGCACTTCCCTCAGAAGGACATTACCTCCAATTGTCTATTTAGTCATTCATCATACACAAAGCAACATTAGCATTTATCTTAAGTATTGGTCACCTGGGCAATAGCCAAAGTATACTCTCCTGTTAGCTCTGTGTTTGGTCTCTATCAACCTTGAGAAAAAGAAAAGTACATGTCTCTTTAGCTACTAAATGCTGCGCTATGTTCACAAACTAGCTGCTCCATTTGTCTGTCTGCTGTTTGATGCGAAGCAGGTAGTAACAGCAATTTATTCAAGTTTCATTACACTCAAAATGCTAATGAGAGCTGCAGGACTCAATCAAATAAGTTAAACCAACACAATGAGCTAAAAGAAGCTAGCATATTCTGCAGGGTCCAGAGGATACTTTTCCTGTTGTCATGACAGACAACCCTTTTCACAGTAGACATCATCTTTTCAAACATTGTTGTATACAAATATATAACATCAGGGTTGCCAACTTTGGGTACCTGGCTGGAGTGAGATTTTGATATCATGGGTTTAATTACACATATGTGCACTAAATGACTGCTATTGTGTCAGTAGCGGGACCTTAGCATATATGATATATATACAATATACACAAATACACAATATTGGACACAGACTATAAAGGGCACAAAGTTGCATTCACTAATGAAAGTCAAACACATATTTGTTTCCACTGTTTTATTGTGTGCATAGGCCTGTCGCAATAAGCAATTAAAGGTGGGGTAGGTAATTTTGGAGAAACCAGCTCGAGTGCGCTAGATTTTGAAAATACACAACCGGAAAAAATCTGCCACTTCCTTACAGAGCCCCTCCTCCAACACACACGAACGCGCACATGACCAATGAGGGCACGAGATAAGTTTGTGCACAGATGGAAGGCTGACAGGCAGGTAGGCCATCCAGTTATTTTAGCTGGGCCGGCTAAAATGATTGGTCGTGCTTTTTACAGTACTACGGCTTCCACAGATGAAATGGATTTTTTGTCAAAGCACTTGGAACACATACATGGAATATAACAAAAAGTGTATCTCGAGCCGGTTTCTCAAACTTACCTACCCCTCCTTTAATTGACTTATCGTACGATAAATAAAAATGAACTCAATAACTTTTCTGACCTCGATACATTTCCATTTACATGAGGATGTGACTAGCAGTTTGAAAGGATGTACTTGAATTATTATTATTATATATTATCATTATGTCAGTGGTCTAAAATGGTCATACAACGGTGCCGACAATATTATCGTTTATCGCAATAATTTCCGGGAAAATGTATCCAACAAAATTAATTATCGTGAGAGGCCTATACATGAAACACACACACAAACAAATCTACAGACTTACTCCAAACTGCCAAACATATTAATTAACACACTCACTCTCATATACTCTTTGACTCTATTTTGGCCTAGTAAAACAATAAGCAGCAGACTTTTACTTTTTAATCATTTCTACTGGATCTTAGATCTGCGCATGCGCAATGCGGGTCGGGGATTGACCAACCGGCTCCCACTGCTCTGCTGTCTGTTAACGTTGTTAAGAGTGGTGGGGGCGGGGAGGGAGCGGATCGACAGCTTGAGCAGCTGTCAACTCAACATTGTAAATAACCAACCAAAAACAATCGACGGTTCATCTTGTTTTTGGCGTGAGAATAGTTTGGGCAGCGTGAGAGCGTGAGATTGAGAGTGAAAGCGTGTCACACGCCAGATGCGTGAGAGTTGGCAACCCTGTAACATACAGTGCAGCTTAGACCAGAAAAATAAAGGACTTGGACTTGGACTTGGGAGTGAAAGACCTGACTTGCCACTGTTTCCAAACCATGTTTTTAGATAAATAGTAAACATAAAATGTTATAATATATCAATATTGACATTACATGTGTATGATAAGGCTGTGATTAATGTTAGGTTCAAGTGCACAAAAAGCCTTGGTAAGATTGCAGTGTCTTGGGGGATTTCTAAAGATTACAAATGGAGAAATGTGTACTGTTTGCTCTGTGGTTTTCTATTGACCGTTCCACAGTCCAGATTAAAAACAAGAGGTGATTGATTTTTTTCATCTCCAGAGGAGCCCAGGCTGGCTTCTTCTACTTCAGCTTTATAGACTTTTTATTTAGTTTAAACTTTATTACAGAGGCTGACTACAAGTGTATCATCACGTTTTCAGCCTTGCTCTTATGTAGTGACCATTATTGCTTTTGTTGCTTCTTCATTTTATCTGTATATAATCCACAATAAACAGCCTTCTATTGAGTTCTGGTAAGATAAAGAATGTTGTTGTCTGTGCTTTTAACTTGAAGTCTTACCTCTTTCTGCACGCCTTAAATAGAGGCACTTGATTTGATTTGAAGCAGAAGACGGTTTTTAGAGAGTTAAGTGGTGTATTTAAAAGTGAAATAACGTCTCTCCTTCTGTCTCTTTGTACCTAAAGGATTCACGAATCTCTGCGCGGACCCAGTAGAAGTCAGTAGAGTCCAGTGAAGGACCGACTGCATCGATAGAAATGGCTTCAACAGCCATGTCTCCATCCTCTCTCACCTCCCGCCTCTCCTCACCCCTCCTCCTCTTCTTACTCTCTGCCTTCCTCCTCCTGTCCTGTCCCGGATCAGTGGACGCGGCTGACGCAAACTGCTCAGCTGCTGGAGACCAGTGTCAGGAAGGTGAGGAAACGGCATCGTATCATACAGTCCCTCCACAGCTTAATAGAGTGTATATTTCTCTTGTGGTACCAGTATATTCATCTAATGACTCCTTTATTTCTAAAATAGCCTATAAATACCCTCCTGGCATTAATTGCCGTACATTTTGCCAGCTCATTCTGTGCAAGCTGTCCAGAGGCTAACAGGAAAGAGATTTATTTGAGGGTTGCTAATGCACACTGAAAGGCCAACTACGATCTTTTTCATTCTGGAAAAAACGCTAATTTCTTTGTAATGTCACTGCTATTGAGCCCTTTTCGTAGCAGCAGTGTTGAATATTGGAGCAGTTAGAAATAAAAACATGGCAAAATAGGGTCCAGGTTAAAAAACAACCATTAAAGTTGAAAAGCAGAATATTCAAAGTTCACACAAATCAGGATGCCATACCACACAATGGGGACAGTGTTTCATGGTCCCCTGAGTTAAATGTACCACTGGTGACTTATCAGCTGATTGTGCCAGTTTACTGCCTTTAAACTGGAGCACATTGATCGATTTTAATATGTTTTATCAAATGATACATCTTCCACTTGTTACATTCCTTAATCAGGTTATACTGCCACTGAGCTTTTTACAAGATGCCCACAGTGGCAGACTGTACAAGATTAAAGAGGGAAAGGGATGCAACCTAATATATGTGATCCTTTCCTGCATAACCTATTCTGATATCTTCCTTTTTGTGATGTTTCAGGAGTGGTGCTGCCCGTGTGGAACCCTCAGAACCCCTCTGTGGGCGACAAAGTGGCACGGGCCATTGTTTACTTCGTGGCTCTCATCTATATGTTCCTGGGCATGAGCATTATAGCGGACCGGTTCATGTCTTCTATAGAGGTAGGCAAGAGATAAAAGAGCACACATTGGTTTAATTTTTCTCCTGATAGTATTACATCTCTTCATTGTAGTAATTAGTATGTATGTGAGTTATCAACAGCTATGGGAAATTCAATGGATCTAACTTAGAGGAATACCTCACTCACAAACTGTCCATTGCTATGACAATTTCTCTATCTGTGTGACCTTGACTAGCTTTTAGTTTGAGTTATCCTTAATATAATAAGTTTCATGGCTCATTTTTCTCTAAAATATATATATATTTTTTCTTTCCCTATTACTTCCTCTTATTTTCATTTGGTGGATCCCTCGCTCTTCTTTCATTTCCTTGATTTTCATTCCTTTTACTTCATCGTTCTCCTGTCCTTTTCATTTGGTGCAACCTCTTCTTTTCTTACCTTCTCATTCCTCTCCTCTCCTCTCCTCTTCTCCGCAGGTCATAACCTCCCAGGAGAAAGAAATCACTATAAAAAGGCCGAATGGTGAGACCACCACCGCCACGGTCAGGATCTGGAATGAGACCGTTTCTAATCTCACTTTAATGGCCTTGGGTTCCAGCGCCCCCGAGATACTGCTGTCAGTTATTGAGGTGAGCACATTATGAGCCTGCTGGTTACGCATTAGATTACCTGATGCACAGAGCGTACTGGGAACACAGTCATCTGATTTTCACCCCGTCTATAGGTGTGTGGTCACGATTTTGAGGCCGGCTCTCTGGGTCCCAGCACCATCGTGGGCAGCGCTGCCTTCAACATGTTCGTCATCATCGCCCTGTGTGTGTACGTGGTACCCGATGGAGAGACGCGTAAAATCAAACACCTTCGGGTGTTCTTCGTCACGGCAGCCTGGAGTATCTTCGCCTACATATGGCTCTACCTGATTCTGAGTGTCTTTTCCCCGGGAGAGGTGGAGGTGAGAATATACAGAAGGCTACATAAGAGCAAAGTTTGGGAAGAAGAAGGTGTTAACTGTGTCTCCTCTCCTCTAGGTTTGGGAGGCAGTGCTCACCTTCCTCTTCTTCCCGCTCTGTGTGGGCCAGGCCTGGGTGGCAGACCGTCGCCTCCTCTTCTACAAGTACGTCCGCAAGCGTTACCGCGCCGACAAGCACCACGGCATCATCATCGAGACCGAGGGAGGGCCGGATGGAGCCATGGGTATGTCCGGAGGAGGTGCCCTGGGGCCGGGGGGTTTCACCAAGATGGACATGCTGGAGCTAGACGGACAGATGGCACTGAATTCTCACAGTGGGATGGACGGAGGGATGATGGAAGACGGAGCGAAGGACGGACAAGATGAGGCCAGGAGGGACATGGCGAAGACGCTGAAGGATCTGAAGCAGAGGCACCCGGATAAAGACATGGAGCAGCTGATCGAGATGGCTAATTATCAGGTTGGAGGAGTGTGCTAATATTATAATGTATTCATATTCAATATTTATTGTGGAATATAACACTGGGAGGCCATTAGCTTAGCTTAGCATAACGACTGGAAACAAGGGGAAACAGGTAGCCTGGCTGTGTCCAAAGTTCAAAGAGACATTGTAGTCATTTTGAAAAGTGTATTTCAAGTTATGGTTTTATAGAAAGTTACATTTTTTATCTTTTATTAGCAAACAGCAGCCAGGCACAGCGACTTCATGGATAGCTTTTTGGACAAAAAAACCCCCTCAAAATTGCCGGCAATATTACATTTGAAACATCTATTTCAATTTCATTCACCTGTAATCTAAACTGCAAATATGGCCCTTAATAATCCCTTACCATGTTAGTTTATATAAAGAACCTAAGACCCCGGGAACATAAGCTTATCTCCTTCTTCATGCTAAGCTAATGGCTTCCTGGCTCTATCTCCCCTGTCCAAACACGAAAGTGGTATCAATTCCTATTTAAATCCCAGCAAGTAAAAGCATATTCACCATAATGTCAAGCTTCTCTAAGACATACATATTTGATTTTAGTCCACAATTGAATGTATTTGGATGTTGCTGCTCATAATGGAGGCCCTGCATTTATCTTAAATGAGACATTACATCATGTCACACATTTCATATGCGACCCCTCTAGGGGTGACTGTGTTAGAGTTGACGCTTTGACACATTCAGTTGTTAACAAGGTGTTTTAAGTGATAGCAGGGATACAGAGAACATTTCAAACTGTTACAGAGCAAGTTAAAAGGTGTTCAATAAATTAAACAACTGCCTACATGCACATGAAAGAAAATCAAAACCCAACTTTGCATACACACCAAATAAAAAGAACATACTATGGAAGTCATTAGAGTGTTGTCTAGATAAGTACACATATAAAGATACCAATACAGTTTTTCAGCCCCTCATGTAATGTCATGTGCTGATAAAACCACTAGTCTGCAGAGAGCATGTTGGCGGTTGGCTTGATTGACAGCCCTATAACAGACGACCCCTCTGAGATCCAGGTGGTTTTTTTCGGGGTAAGTTGTATTAACATCAAATAAGTGAGCGTGTAAGTTCCTCCATAGCCTTGGAAGCCATACTGTAGCTTGACAAAAAAATGTAACCCAAGGTCCACTTGTTAACTTTATTTGAGCTTACAGCTGAGTTCATATAAGACTGGGTCATGTTATTAACATTTCAAAAAGAGACAGTAAGTGGACCATGTGTTAAGATTTTTTTGGGGGATTTAGATATACGATGTCTTAAAATATATTGATTAGCCATGAAAATGTAGTGCTTTGTCCTAAATTGTACTTATGGTTTAATTTGGCATTAGTTTGGTTTTAGATAGTCAATGTGGTTTTTTCGCATCCCTGGTCAAATAGAAAGCAGTCACTAATAAATGGTTTTCACACACTCATATCTTTTTGAATATTTGCACTCGCTAAAAACTATTTTTATAATCAAACTGACACATTAAGGACTTGTCTGGTTTTGCACCCTTTGATGATGAACTGTGGAAGCTATCCAAGTCTCTGCTGCTCCCTCTTTCTCTACTTTCCTCTCTTCCTTCCCTTGCCTTTCCTCCACCATTTGTTGCTCCTGGTCTTTGTTTTTTTGGCAATGAAGGAGAGGAGAGGAAAGCACCCCAAGGTGCACTGGGAAACTGCCAGATGTTTGTTTGAATTCAAGCCTCCCTCCCTGCAGCTCCTCGCTTGGGCTTTTTTCTGTAAATAAAAATGGCAGCTAGACGAGTAAACTCAAGTGGACAAAATAAGTTCAGTGTGGTCTTAACGAATCATTACATTGAACAGTAGTTCCCCATGGTGGAATTGGACTTTCATTCAATTAGACCAGCTAAACCTGATAACGTTTTTAACTAAACTTACAATTACAGCTTACATCCCTCCACAGTGATGCAGATTTTATGAGAATTCTGAAGGGATATTGCCGGCTCTCTTTCCTTCAATTTCAAAAACTCAGTGTTCCTTTGAGGCCACATTTAAGCCAATGATTTCCACATCTAAAGTTAAATGTTCTATTTAGTTGGTAAATCGCTAGAATATGAAATTCCTATTCAGCCAGACACTTTTATTGAAATGTGTGCTTATAGATTGATGAAGCCCATTAGATAAAATGTTTGCAGCGGAACAGTCTTGTGCATTGTTAACAGGGAAGTAAGGAAGCAATGTCACATTGTTCAAGGAAATGTGATCAAGGAAATATTTTTGGTTGGATGCCCGAAACATAGAATTGAGGCTTTTCATTATTTTAAAGGCCTTTAGCTCTTTACTTCTGGCCATTTATATGTAAGAAATCATAGAGGTGGTGTTCATCTGTAAACATAATTTTTTGAACAAAACATGTAAGAACAATAACATGTTGTTGTCCTCAGTTTGCTTTTTGCAATATTCCAAAATCCAATGGAAAATCCCATTAAAGTAACTAGAGCTAACTTCTGGGTTGGCCCAAAATCCCTGCAAAGCAAAACAGTTATAAATATGAAGCTCCAACATCAATACGCGCAGGATCTAGGTCCAAACTTCAAGCACCCATTTTTAAAAAACGTCCTTCAGTAACTCTCTAAGCCCTTGACTACTAATTTCCCTGAGGAAAAAAATTCCCAAAAGAGATTCACTGCTTAATCTTGAAATTGCAGCTTCCAATTCAAACGTGGAAGCTTTTATAAAAGGACTTTTTTTTTGGAGGTGAAACAAAACATGATCAATACAATAGATTTGTTATTAATTGATTGGTTTTGTTGATCAGGTCCTGATGCAGCAGCAGAAGAGCAGAGCGTTCTATCGTATCCAGGCAACCAGGATGATGATCGGAGCTGGAAACATCCTGAAGAAGCACGCCGCCGACCAGGCCCGCAAGGTGGGATGCACATCATCTCCCCTCAGCACCACTATTTACAGATAAAATACTCACATCTTAATTTGTTCCCGTCTCTTATTTCCAGGTGGTGAGCAGCAATGAGACGCAGGCGCAGGAGGACGACCCTCACACCATCACGATGGACTTTGAACCCGCTCTGTACCAGTGCTTCGAAAACTGTGGCTCCTTAAAACTGACTGTGGGCAGACACGGAGGAGACCCTGGAGTTACTGTCAAGGTGGGTGTGGTGTTCATGCAAGACTGAGGAGTTCAGAAAAATGACCACAGAAATCTGCTCTGACCTGACCTCACTTGTTCTCATCTCTAAAAAAATTCAGACAGCTGGTAAATAACAGAAATGGTTGATAAAGAAGAGCGGGGACACACAATACTAAACACTTTATTCTCCAGATTTTTCGATTTCTGTTCAGGCTGTAAGAAAAAGATAAAAAAACATCCATTGGGGAAGGCTCATTGATCTTAACACTGGCCTCATACTCGGAATAACAGATTTTCTTTTAAGTCAGAGACAGAAATCTGTATCAGTGAAATGATCTGCATGTTAATACAGCAGGGGCCTTGCATGGCTGTGTCTCCTCTATTATTCTCCCATATACACATAAAACTTCCTCGGAATAGATCATGCCCTATTAGGCAATGTTAATGGAATTGAAAGAATAATATGTGTATCCTCAGCATGATTCAGATCCAAAATGTAATGGGTTATCCCTTGGACCATGATACAATATCACGGCTGTTTTCTTTTACCGTAGTCCTCCTGAAAAAAGACACACCAAACCAAATCATAACTTCCTTTTCAAAGGAGACTATGATGTAGCATCAGAGCTACCTTTAGAGGTCGGTTCATGGCATGGCTTCAGTCTGCCGTCCACTGAAACTGATTTTATAAAGTGAAGTGGCCTTTTAAGCCCACACAGGCTCTTCAGACAGCGTGTCAGAGCAGTGCAGACGCAGAAATGATTATCGTTACGCAAATGCTTTCACAATGTGGTTACATGTACTTGATGTCGCACTTGAATCAGTCAAAAGCTGGACAAATCTATTAACAGTCCCAGCCTTTTCATTATACAAGAAAAGTTCAAAGAAATATACTCATAAAAAGCTTAGCACTTTTAGCACGAGGCAGCCATTCTAAAACAGCTACCGACACTTAGACATATCTTTAAAAACATTATATATAAAGCTAACCGCTCATTTGAAGCTGCATTAAGAGACTTTGTGTGCCGCTTGTGCCGCAGCAGGAAAAAGCTATAACATTTAAAAGACCTTTGAAGCCAAAATAGCTAATATGATGTAAAAAAGTAGGCTTTTTTGATATACAGCAGGTACGGAGAATCATTAGCTTTCATTCGTATCCACCTGATGGATTAAGTCCAATATTCAACTTCTTTAAGCACCGTTTTAAACTCCAAAAATTCCCGGGAAAGATATGCATCTCTTAATCTGCTAAATGTCAGCGAGTACTTACTTTTGTTTTGCCATTTAGTTCCAAGCAGGCATTTACAGCTTCTTTGTATAGCTTTTTAGTTGAAAACAGCTGAATGTTGCATATTAATACAACACAGATAAGTCAAGTTAGTCTGGAAAACCAAAATAAAGAGCTACATGTTAAAACTATCATTATTTAATATGGGTTTCTCAGTATGAGCAAAACCGTAGTAAGTCATTTGAGCCAATACAGAAAAAAGATTATAGTAGCTTGAAGTCTGCTTAAATCATTTGTAAATGGCAAAATGATTTATGGGAAACCACATTCCTGTCCATCCATACCAAAAAGAACAGTTTCCTAGCAGAGGGATTCATCAAATACAATGTGCTGTATTTTATAAATTAGGTGCCATAGGAAAAGGCATACTTTTAATTACGTTAAACCTACAGTGATACAGTTAAAAAGCCTAGCTATATTCTCGGCTGCCCATCTTTCTAAAATATACATAACATAGAAACCCACTCATCAATTCATTCATTTCCTGCTATTATATTCACACAATCATAATTCCAAAATGTCATAATGTCTCTTCATGTTTAAAAAAATCTGAAATATAGTGAATCCTCAGTATAGAGTAGTCCCTGCAATAAAAGGCACATGTAAAAAAGGGTTCAGAGTTGTGTCACTCACACGCATTTCATCAAGAGCGGAGCGAGTGCGAAGAGAATAGGAATAAAAGCGCCCCCAGCACTGAGTCAGCTTTTCATACACAGTACGTCTGTATGAAGTAATGGGAATTTCTGAAAAGACGACACAATCTGTTATCTGATTCTAAACAGTGAGGGTGCATTTGTGAGGGTGTTAATATGGGGGCAGATGGAGAGGATACAGGGGAAGTTTTGTTGTACTATATTCAAAGTGTTTATTTTCACACTGTGTCTGACCACAGGGCTCAGTTTAATGAAGCACTTTCTCTTGAATTTCCTCTGTTCCCCAAATGCCTCTCCTCTTCTTGTTTGCCTCCGTCTCTTTTTCCATGTTCTCCTTTCCCTTTGTGTTTATTTGCCCTTTTCCGTTCCGTTCTGTTTTATCTTCTGAGGGCTCTCTCTTTACCATGGTCTCAACCCGCCTCCCCTCTCTGTGTGCTCCGCTCTCCCCCAGGTGGATTATCGCACAGAGGACGGCACAGCAAACGCAGGTTCGGATTATGAGTTTGCAGAGGGAACGCTGCTGTTTAAGCCGGGAGAGACCCTCAAAGGTAAAAAAACAACTCACGGCAATAATGTATGGCATAGTTTACAAAAACACATCGCTTAGACTGAGGCTCAAACAGATCAGATCATCCACAGGGAACGCTAAAATGTTCTTTTTGGAATAATATTTCATAAAGAAGAATCCTACTAAGGCTGTACTGTTTAGAACAAAATAACTTATTGTGATTATTTGGCCTGATATTGCAATTTGATATCTTTAAAGATATAGGAGGGAATTGAAACATTTATCGCTTGAAAATTGTATCAAAGTTATCATGGTGTGACCCTTATAAGAAGATTTGTACCAAAACAAGTATTTTCCTCAATTTGGATTAAATATGCAGCACTAACTACAGTAAACTATTCTGTCCCAACCTATAATGACATTTCTTTCCCCAGAGATCACTGTCGGAGTGATTGACGATGACATCTTCGAGGAGGATGAGTATTTCTACGTCCACCTCAGTAACCCTCGGCTGGTTGGATATCCGGAGATCGGCACCGCCCCGCAGGACGCCAGCGTCGCCCCCAAAGCCGTGCTGGGGGACAACCACAGCGCCACAGTGACCATCTACGATGACGATCACGCAGGTAATTGAACCCCTAAATAACGTTTGATGGGAATAGATACGATTTTATTCATATCCCTGTAATTATAGATTCTCCTAATGGTCTGATTCTGTATCGATTACGTTATTGAATCGTGATGATTTTTTGTGTAGAAAAAAAGTATGTATTTAGAAGTTTTCCGTTTAAATGTATAATGGAAAACATTGAACCTTCAAGCACTGTTTTTCAGAGATTAATGTTTTTTGTCTCTCACAAAAACAGACTTGCAACTCTCTTATTGAGTCGTACAATTCAGATGGATCGGTCTGCTTGGTTTCCATTTCTCCTCTTTAAGGGTTTTTCTATCTTATCTATCTTACTTAAATACAATCCTCCTACCATTTATCTAGTTACGTTTGAAAGACAGAGGAGAACAGAATTTTGACGATTTAAATCCTCCTCACTTTCGAAGTAAATGTTATTTTCTGTTCTGCCTATACCTAGATCATGCAAAACAGACAGTGTCAAAAGTAGAACTGGTTTTAATAAAAGTGTCTGCACCCATCCAGCGTTATTTTAAATCCACATGGGTCTATTATTGTATTGCTAAGGTCCCCTCAGTGTCACCACTTTTCAGCCACAGTACTTTGAAAACAACCAAAGACAATTAAAGTGACTAAGTGGAGCGTGGGCGTTTACCTGATGCTCATTTCCTTTTATCTAGAGAGAGTGGGAGGTAGTCTATTATCCCCTTGACTTTATATACAGCACACACTCGAGAGCAAAGTAGTGAGTGAGCGTATGTGTTTATCAACCTCATCTTTCACACTTTAATGTTTCTTAATGTTTCTTCTTTCTTTCTTCCCTTTAGGCATCTTTACCTTTGAGGCCGGCAGTCAGAAGGTGAGCGAGAGCATGGGTGTGATGGAGCTGAAGGTGTTGAGGACTTCGGGGGCCCGAGGCCTGGTGGCTGTCCCCTACCGAACCGTGGATGGCAGCGCTAGAGCGGGAGAGGACTACGAAGTGTCCGCCGGCAAGCTGGAGTTCCAGAACGACGAGACCATGTGAGTACAGGAACTGTTACTAAACCGTGAATATAGGCACACTTGACCAATGGCCCGAAATCCAGTGGTGTGAAGTAACTTAGTATTTACTCAAGTACTGTCCTAAAGTACAGTTCTGAGAGACTTGTACTTTACTTGAGTATTTCAATTTTTTGCTACTTTGTACTTCTACTCCACTTAGGGCTGCTCAATTAATCGTATTTTAATCGCAATTACGATTATGGCTTGCAACGATTACGAAAACAACGTTATCGAAATATAACGATTATTTTTTAATTATAAATTATTTTTTTTATTGGTTTTTCAGTTGAGTTACTGTATGCTTAAAGTTCAGGGTAATTAACTGTTAAAAATATACTTCAAAAAAAATTTCACCAATAAATTTATGTTTTCAAAGTAAATGGATTTTTTTTAATAATCGTGACATCAATTATTGACCCAAATAATCGAGATTATGATTTTTGCCATAATCGAGCAGCTCTAACTCCACTACAATTCAGAGGTAAATTGTGTACTTTTACTCCACTAAATGTATCTAATATCTTTAGTTACTTTGCAGATTTTGAAATATAATCAAGTCTTAAATCAGACTTTAGTTCCACCTGGAGTAAATTCACAAGCTACCCTGCAGTATACAAAGTCATTCAAACTAGCTGCACCTTTACCAGCTTTGAGAACACTTTCATGATCAATCATTATAATCAAAACATATAAAATATATTATTCTGAAACGGGCCAGTACTTCTACTTTTGGTACTTTAAGTTTATTTTGATGCCAATCCTTTTGTACTTTAGTCACATTTTGATTGCAGGATTTTCACTTGTAACAGAGAATTCCTTCACTCTGGTACTTCTAGTTTTACTCAAGTACAAGATCTGAGTACTTTTCCCACCTCTGCCAAAGTCGAATAAAAAAAAACTTTGTATTCATTAAAATCAGGTTTTTACATCACTCAAAGGTGACTGACATACTTTTAGTGTCCCATTCCTCTCACTGTCTCCTTTCTGTGTGATTGACTCTCATTCAGAAATGGCTGTTCAGGTTAATTGAGTGTGAAACATGCATTTGCGGTATCAATAGCTCTATTAAAGCAGATAACAGCGCAATAATGCCACTCTTCAAGGTAGGCTACTCTGCATTCAAATGTTTTCTCACACGTGAACACACACACACACACACACACACACACACACACACACACACACACACACACACTCTTGTGTCCTTGGGCGCATGCATTTTTAATATGCTGATGTTAGCGGTGTTAAATTGACCAATACATAAAGCGGTTGGGAATGCAGTATCCTCAGCGCCTCCTGGGGCCCCATAAAGAAAGTAGTGTGTGTGTGTGTGTGTGTGTGTGTGTGTGTGTGTGTGTGTGTGTGTGTGTGTGTGTGTGTGTGTGTGTGTGTGTGTGTGTGTGTGTGTGTGTGTGTGTGTGTGTGTGTGTGTGTGTGTGTGTGTGTGTGTGTGTGTGTGTGTGTATACGTACAGTTTTAGAGAATGAGGACTTTTCTGCTTGTTTCCTCTTCCTCAAGGTGCTGTTTGATTCATGGTTGGACAGATGTTAGGGTACAATTATATGAATACAAATATGTGTGCTGTGTTTCTAGGGGACAGAAGTTGGGAAGACGGAGTATATATCAACCGATATGTGTGTGCTCTCGAACATCTATGCTTGTAACGACCAACCTGGCTTTAGGCCTTGAGACTTGGGAGAAAGAAAACATGCTATTAGATTATAATTATTCCTTCATTAATGTTTTCATCACTTTAATTTGGAAGCTGGTAAAGCAGGAGTTCATTATCTATTAGATATTTAGATCAATGTAGATGTAGAAAGGACACTATTTCTCTATGAAGTTAAGTACAAAAAACCTCAAAATTGTAAATTCAGTGTTTTAGTACATTTTACTTGTTAATTTGCACCTCTTCTCATGAGTATGAGTACAAAAGAGGCTTGTCTTGTCTACTAAAAAGGCAAAGTGTGTGTGTGTGTGTGTGTGTGTGTGTGTGTGTGTGTGTGTGTGTGTACAATGATGCAGTCACTACTTGTAAAGCAAGCTAGTGAGCTTAGGAAACGTTGATAGAGGGGTGAGAGGGAGCCAAGGTAGGCAAAACAAACAGATATACAGTATGTCCTCTGGAAGCTCATTAATAGTCTCTAGTGCAAAACTAAATAAGATACTGTTAGATTGTTTGCTACGATTACAGAGATCAGAGGGTGCGGTATTCTAACTTTGTGGGTCAAGAGTAAACAAAGAGCATCGATAAGCATCTTCCTCCTCTGGCTGCGGATGAACAGTGATTACAGCTTGTATTTGTGAAGCTTCTGAGAACCATACCGAGGTTTAAATAACCTACACCCATTTTTAGCTTGCAGCATGCATTGATCAGAACTACAAAGTGTGCTTTTTGTTGAGTAGTTACACACTACTTCTTCAGCACAGGTAAAACAAAAGAACCTAAATACTGCTTTTTATTTGCTACATTTGGGCCTCATTTTGTGCTATTTTTCTATTATGCCTTTTCAATATGAAATCTCTTTGGATTGGATATGATTCTGCCCTTTCAGCAGTGATGATATCAGAGATGCTTTGGCGTTGCTCTTTTTAAAGGCTTTTTGGGAGGATGGACAAACACGAGCACAACAAAAAAGAAAGGGCAAACAGGATGTGCTCTCTTAAGATATCCCTCCCCCTCTTTATTTTCTCATGGCTTTTTCTTGCTGCTACCCCTCTGTGTTTTCTCTTTTCATCATTGTGCCTTTGAGCCCCTTGTCCCGCTAATGTAAAGCTGCTTTTATCCGCTGCACTCGCTTGTTTCTTTCCTCTCTCTGCCTCCCCTTTTCTCTCTTCATTAAATGTCTGCTCTTCATTGACCTTGGATTTCCTCTGTGTAGCCATTTTCAGCCTTTTTCTCATTGGCTTTCTTCAACATCTCTCCCCCTTTCTCCCATCCCCCTGCATTTCTGCTTGGTATCATTTTAGATTTCTTGAGGTTTTGTCATCCTCCCTTCTTCCCTGACCTCCCTGTCAACTCTCCTCTTTCCCTTTTCACCCTCCTGATTAGCATATTCCTCCTTTCAGTCTTTAACCGTTACCTGTTCAAACCATTCCTCTCTCTTTCCTTGCTCTTATCTTGCTCCACTGCTTCTTTATTACCTCTCCCCCTCTCCTTATTCTATCCCTCCCCTCACCCTCTCCATCCATTCATCTCTGTCTAACCCTTTACTCAGAGAAAAAGGGACTTTCTGCCAAGGCAATTTAGCTGGATCACAACCCAGACATAACTCACCCTCCACACCTCCTTCTGTTCTCTCCTGTCTGACAGTATGTCTTCCTTCGTGGTGCTGCGTAATAGTTATGTTTAACCATTTGGTCTATTTCGGCGCATTTAAGCAACCACACCGCACCTGCATTAATCTGTCACTTTTGTTTATCCTGTCTGATGGAATGAGATTTCTGAAAAGTTTGGGAAAAGTGCAGAAAGTGGGTAGATGGATCACAGGAGAGAGGAGGGGTAGATGGAGGAAGAGTAAACCAGGTGCTGCTTCAGATTCTTGGAAAATCTGAAAGGCATTGGAGCTGAACTGACAAGAGCAGAGGAGAAGGAAGTGAAGAAAAAAGGGGGCTTCACCTCAATGTATTAATATCTTATTCATAGAAAATAATGTGACACCATCAAGAAAAAATCCTTTTTCTCTTACTTCCCCTCCTCATATTTGCTCATTTATACTTCAACAAGTGGATGATTTCTGAAATAAAGACACAATATCAGTTTACTTGTAATAAGAACCACCTGCAGGGGGCCAGTTTTGCAAAACAGCACTGGCTCTATCCAAAATCAAATAGTTCAGAAACACTTGAAATGGGAATTAAACTATAATGTTTGTAAATGTCTTTATCAATGCTTTGTAGCATACATTCATTCTGACCCAAAGATGTGTTTCAGTACAGTGCAGTACACATGGATGGAGAAGGAGTCAGGGACGTGGATAAAAACACAAGGAGGAGAAGAGAGAGAGAGAGATGTACATTACTTGTTAATGAACTGAGGAAAGGAGTGAAGGAGGGAAAAGACATGAATAATATGTAAGTGCGTTATTGTCAGTATGTTGTTCTCTCACTCGAGTGGAATTTATTCAGTGTCACTGTGGGAAGTCACACACACATACACTTGATATGCAGCATAGTTAATCTATATGTATTCATTATTTGGACTCACATTATGCACACGCCAGAGGTAATTAAATCCCTCTGTGCCCTCTCTTTCTTCCTTTCTTTTCTGTTTTTTGGTAGTCAGAAGGCGTGTGTGCGCAAAAGACAAAGTTACATGTGTGTGTCTGTCTGTGTCTGTGTCTGTGTGTGTGTGTGTGTGTGTGACTTAGTAGGGTCAGTTTATTCTTAGCCTTCCTCTGACCTGCAACCGAGCTCAGTCACTGCCAGAAAACACACCTGTGTGTGTGTGTGTGTGTGTGTGTGTGTGTGTGTGTGTGTGTGTGTGTGTGTGTGTGTGTGTGTTGTGTGTGTGTGTGTGTGTGTGTGTGTGTGTGTGTGTGTGTGTGTGTGTGTGTGTGTGTGGTCCTCTCCCCTGACTGCTCATTATACATTTCAAACAGGTGTTGCCACCACACTGTGCCGACGCCTGTTCAATTACTTATGCTCAGTGTGTGGATGTGTGTGTATTTACTGTATATGTGTGTGTGGGAACTCACTTTAGCCAACATAGTAAAACTTTTAACGTGTCACCTTGCAAACCAAGCTCTAATTACCGGTAATCATCAGTATGCTTACTAGAAACAATCAAATACAATTCTCATTTTATATTTCCTTGTTGACATTTACACATTTAGGTTTTTCACAACATTGCGAGATAGGGCATGGTCTTGGCCGAGGTCTTCATTTCTGTGCTGCTAGTTGGGCTAATGTCAAATGAGGCTAAACATACTGTTTATATTAGCTATCATACAAATGTTTAACAATACAAGATAAGATAC